CTCCCTCATGGACCTCATGCTGGTCTGCAGCGTTGTGCCGAAGATGGCGGCCAACTTCCTGTCTGGCAGGAAGTCCATCTCCTTTGCGGGTTGTGGCACACAGGTGGGCTTCTTTGTCTCCCTCGTGGGGTCTGAGGGGCTCTTGCTGGGGCTTATGGCTTACGACCGCTATGTGGCCATCAGCCGCCCGCTTCACTACCCCGTCCTCATGACTCAGAGGGTCTGTGCCCAGATTGCTGGGAGCTCCTGGGTTTTCGGGATACTAGATGGAATGATTCAGATGGCGGCCGCCATGACCTTCCCCTACTGCGGCTCGAGGAACGTGGACCACTTCTTCTGTGAGGTGCCAGCTCTGCTGAAGCTGGCCTGTGCGGACACTTCCCTCTTCGACACCCTGCTCTTTGCGTGCTGTGTCTTCATGCTGCTCCTTCCCTTCTCCATCATCGTGGCCTCCTATGCTCGCATCCTGGGGACCGTGCTCAGGATGCATTCCGTTCAGGCCCGCAAGAAGGCTCTGGCCACCTGTTCCTCCCACCTGACAGCTGTCTCCCTCTTCTATGGGGCAGCCATGTTCATCTACCTGAGGCCTAGGAGCTACCGGGTCCCTGGCCATGACAAGGTGGTCTCTGTCTTCTACACGGTCCTCACGCCGATGCTCAACCCCCTCATTTACAGCCTGAGGAACCGGGAGGTGACGGGGGCACTGAGGAAGGGGCTGGGCCGCTGCAGGGTGGGCGGCCGGCACTGAACCCCAGGGCGCCAGTGCCTGGCCCTGCCAGCTCTTGGGTGTGTGATGTAGGTAAGTCACTGGCCTTTTGTGAGTGCCTGTTTCCATTCACCTGTGGATGGTCATTAGGGTTATTTATAGTTTCCAGCCATTGCAAGTAAAGCCATTATGAATATTCTCATTCAATAAAAATGAGAATCATGAAATAGGTCCTACCTCTCTGGGATTTTTGCCAAGATCACAACATGTAAAAGGGAAGCCCCACGAAGAAGCAATGCATTGCTATCATAGCCATCGCTGATTATTCATAGCATCCTTGGACTACATTTACTCTATTTCCTAATTCTTCTTGGTAATAGCTGTCTCTCATTGAATGCTCACTAAGTTCTGGGCACTGTCCTGTTCCCTTTACATAACTTCTATATTATTTAATTGATGACTCAGGCTAATAAATATGGATGTCTTAAATGGAAGCATTCTGGAAATTGAGTCTCTGTAGTTTTTTTTTTTTTTTTTTTTGAGACAGAGTCTCGCTTTGTTGTCCAGGCTAGAGTGAGTGCCGTGGCGTCAGCCTAGCTCACAGCAACCTCAAACTCCTGGGCTCGAGCGATCCTTCTGCCTCAGTCTCCCGAGTAGCTGGGACTACAGGCATGCGCCACCATGCCCGGCTAATTTTTTATATATATATCAGTTGGCCAATTAATTTCTTTCTATTTGTAGTAGAGACGGGGTCTCGCTCTTGCTCAGGCTGGTTTTGAACTCCTGACCTTGAGCAATCCGCCCGCCTCGGCCTCCCAAGAGCTAGGATTACAGGCGTGAGCCACAGTGCCCGGCCTTATAAAACCTTTTTGAAGAAATAAAACCATATCTCTGCAGTTTGTAAGTTACCCTGTCAGGTAAAATCTTGTTTATTTATTACCAGCACCTGATCCTGTGCCTTATAAACAGCAGCTGCTCAGTAAAACATTTGTTGAATGAATGCAAGAAGGAAGCAACAAATGAGGTCACATATATGAGAGCATTTTTAAAGCACGGTTCACAAACCAAATATGCTGTAGCAGCTGAGATTCATTTCAGTACTTCAAGTTCTGCAACTGTAAAACTATATCTTTCTTGGAGGATGAATACTAGAACCGAAACAAAGACAGAAACCGAGCCATTATTTTATAACTTATATATCAGTCAGGGTCCAGTAGGGAATAAAACCACATCAGTTATTTTAACAGAGAAAATGTAATGTAGGGAATTGCTGGTCAGGTGTGGTGGCTGATGCCTGTAATCTCAGCATTTAGGGAGGGCAAGGGGGAAGGACTGCTTGAGCTCAGGAGTTCGACCAAGAGCGAGACCCTGTCTCTACTATAAATAGAAAGAAATTAGCCAAACAACTAAAAATAGAAAAAATTAGCCAGGCACAGTGGCTTGTGCCTATAGTCCCAGCTACTCAGGAGGCTGAGGGAGGAGGATTGCTTGAGCCCAGGAGTTTGAGGTTGCTGTGAGCTAGGCTGATGCCACAGCACTCTAGCCCAGGCAATAGAGTGGACTCGTCTCAAAAGAAACAGGCGGGCCGTGGATGGCTCCACGCATGTAATCTAGAACTCGGGAGGCGAGCAGGCGATTGCATAAGTCCAGAGTAAAACCTGAGCACTAGCGAGACCCCGTCCTACTATCAAGATAGAAGTTAATTGGACAAGTATACATATGAAAAAAATACGGGATACCGTGGCGCTGCTGTAGTCCGCTACGGGAGGCTGAGGCAGGAGGATCGCTCTGAGCCCAGAGTCGAGTTGCATGTGAGCGAGCTGGAGCACGGCACTTCCCGATCTAGCCTGGGCAACAAGCGAGACTCTTTGTCGCAAAAAAAAGAAGAAAAAATGAAGAAAAATCAATTCGTTTTTTTTTTTTTTTTTTTGAGACGAGTCTCGTTTGTTGTCCGGCTAGAGTGAGCTGGTGGCGTCACATACGCTCACAGAACCTCAAACTCTGGCTTGAGTGAGTCCTCTGCTCAGCTCCGAGTGCTGGCTACAGCGATGCCGCACACCGTAATTTTTATATACCCTACGTACTCAGTTGCCAATTAATTTCTTTCTATTAATAGTACAGACGGGTCTCGTCTTGCAGGCTGTTTTAATCTGACCCCTCGAGCGATCCGCCCGCCTCGGCCTCCCAAGAGCTAGGATTACAGGCGTGAGCCACCGCGCCCGGCCAAAATCCAATTCTTATTTCAGTCAAATAACCAAGCAGGCTCCTAGTCGGAATTTAGCCACTGGCACTTAACATTAATCACTATACATATCAGTAAGTTCATAGTTATATCATTTCCTCCTTGATCTAACACTCTTAGAATGAATGCCTTCCTGTGATATTCCCCCCCCCTTTTTTTTTTTTTGCAAGCATAGATTAGCAAAATCTTGTGATTCTTTTTGAAATATTAGCTGTTTTCTCCTGGGGCAGATTTTGTACTTGTCTCTTTGGAGCATACTTAGATCCAACACTAGCTAAGAATCCAGAGGCAACAAAGAAATGGTTTGGGTAGCCCTGGATTAGAACAGGCATCCTTTTATTAATACACGGCAACTGCTCTAGGTGAGCTTGTCACAGGGTCAACTCAAAAGTTTCAATTCTTTCTTATATTCATCTACATAAAGTCTGCCTTGGTCCCTTGTCCCTTTTTTGTTGAGGCGAAATTCATGTAACATAAAATTAACTTACCTAAAATGAACATTTCAGTGACATTTATACCTTCACAATGATGTGCAATCACCACCTCGCTTCCAAAACTTTTCTATTGCCCCAAAAGGAAACCCCGTGGCCGTTAGGCAGTGACTCCCTGTTCTCTAATTCCTTCAGCCTTTGGCAACCCCAATCTGCTTTCTGTCTCTATGGATTTGCCTATTTTGGATATTTTATATAAATAGAATTATACAATATGTGACCTCTTGTATCTGGCTTTTTTCCCTTAAAATAATTTTTTCAAGGC